CCCCCCCCTAAAAAAGGGCTGACGGTTGGATCCCTCTTCTCAAAGTCCCGCGAGATCTGCCTCCATCCCCGCGACTTGTTGCAGTGAAACCTCGCGATACGTGCGTCAGCTGCTGTCGTCTGAGAGAAGCTTCTTTATCTTCTCAAGTTTGCACCAACTCGTCCAGAGACTTTGATCAGAGACAGAAAACAGGCAGAGGAGCGCGGGAGCGTCGGAGCAGAGGTGGAGCAGCTCCGCATCAAGTTCAGAGTTTATAAGACGCATATTTCTGAGTTGAAGTGACTTTAAAGTCGTGTCTCTGCGTCATTTACGCGTCAACGCGCAGATTTGACGCGTAAAAGTGGCGAAGCGTCAAAGAAACGCGAGATGAAAGTTGTTGTCTGAGTTTAGTTTGAGGATCAAATCGCTGTGAGCTCGTCGAACTGTTGTTAAACTGCTGTTTGTGTCTTCCTCCATCACGGTGAGCGCCGTGTGCGCGCTGCAGACACGTCGGTGTGCGTAAAGACAGAGATGCTTGGTGGCCACGTCCCCCTGGAGACTGGAGACACAACACGTGATGGGCTTTACTTATCAGGTTTAGAGGGAGAGAGACACCGAGACACGGAGAGAGAGAGAGAGAGGGAGGGGGAGGGAGAGAGAATTAAAATTAAACCGAGTTAAAACAGAAACCAAACATTTTCCTCCCGTCGAGCGATTTACGCGAGTTTCGTTGTTTCCTACGGGAGAGAAGAGGAGAGAGCGGTGGGGGGAGGAGGGAGGAAGAGAAGCAGGAGAGGAGGAGAGGAGGAGGGAGGGGAGGAGAGGAGGGGAGGGGGAGGAGGAGGAGAAGCCGGAGTAAAGTTTGTCCAAGTTTGCACATCCCTTCGGAAACGCCATTTTGATTCCTCTCCTCTCCGGAGCGAGTTTGCTGCCTCTCTCTCTTCTTTTTTTTTCTTCATCATCCCCCTTTTATCTCCCACATCACCGCCCTTCATCACCGTCTTCATCATCATCGCCCCCTCCTCCACCATCATCATCATCATCATCATCCTCCTCGCCACGATGTCTCGGCGCAAACAGCCCAACCCCAACAAAGTGAAGCGTAAGTTCCTCTTCAGCTTCTCCATCGTTTGTTTTCTGCGTCTCCGGCTCCGCGCACGGTTTCATCGGTGTGTGTGTGAGTGCGTGTGAGTCGTGGCTCGGTTCTGTGAGTGTGTGTTGGACTTTGGAGCGTGTGTAGAAGTTGTGATGTGTTCACGGTTGAGGAAGAGGGGGACACTTTCCTCTCCTCTGCGTGTCGCTTCCTAGTTTGATGCGCATCCAAGCGGTGGAATTCAGCCTCCGTCTCTTCTCCTTCAGCTTCTTCGCATCGTTTCCTCAAACTTTTCCTTCTTTGCACTTTCTGGGCAACTTCTGCCCCGCGCGTGCACGTCAGGGGCAGTAGTGTGGTGGTTTGGCCCCGCGGGGAGCGCGCAGCACGGGGGGTCAAAGTCTGCGCTGCGCCGGAGTCGAGCATCATATCTCGGCTGCACTTTGGTCGGAGCCTCGCTGTTAGTGGCCATGTGTAAAGCTACCAGACACCAGGGCAAGCTGCCGGCAACAGGCCGCTGCTTCCGGCACCCGCCTTCACAGTAAGAGCACCTGTTGCTGCTCAGATGAGAGGATTAAACCTGAGGACGTGACTCAGGTTCAGACTGAAGCTTCACATGAGTCACTGATGATGTGTGGCTCTGTTTGTGTGGCTCTGTTTGTGTGTCTGTGTGATGATGTGTG